TAAAAATAATAATAAAATTTTGGAGTGTTACATCGATAAAACTCAAATTCCTATTAAATAAATACAAAATTCTTAACTATTAAATTACTATATATTATTAGTAATAAAATTTATATTAAAAAAAATATGAATTTAATGGATAAAAAAATATATTAAATGCTGTACTATAATCGTAAAATCACACTGTTCAATTCTTGGTGAGATTTAAATGTATTGGAGGTAAAATTAATTTACTTGCTATGCATAACACATTTAAATACAATTGGTTTTCACTTCAGGAGATTGGGCAAATCTGTCATCATGAACTGTCTTAATATCATAACCCTTTATATATATATATATATATTATAATATTGTTTTGTGTGTAAGTACTTATCTTTTTCTGTCTACCTCCTTAATTTTAAGCTCTCTTCCCTTCAAATTTCAAAGCAATTGAATATGATTTTTTCTTTTTCATCTAAGAAGACTTTTTGATTTTTAAAATCGATTTCATAGCTGAAGGAATCTAACTAGTATAGAATTATTTTTCATTCAAAAATATAATAAATTTCTTAATACTTAAGCCTTTCATCAACACAATCTCATCAAGAACCTTAAGTGAATTAGGCATGCAGACCAATACCCATTTTGGGATTATCATTTTGAACACAATAAAGGCAAAGGTAAGCTTATACTAGAAAAGAAATTTTAGCATTCACCCAAAAGAAACATGGAAAGAAGAAAAATTGGCAGATGCTTTGTTGGGATAGCAGCAAGCACACTGCAGAGCTAGAGGTAATAATCAAAGCACAAAAGGAAAAGGAAAGCAGCTATCTTTTTCTGATGGGTGAGTGTAAAAATAGGTGAGAGTAATTTAGGGCACATAACACATTGAATTTGGAAGCTTGAATGTCCTTTTGGCACTTGCGAGTCCATTCAAGCTGGCTGCTCCATTGATCTACAATTATACCTCTTATGCGGTACCCTTGACCCACCAGCTTCTTTCTCACCTCTGCCTTGTATTCTTCCACTTTCATGTATTCATCTTCAAAGCCTTTACAAATTCCCAATTAATGATGCTTCTCAAATCATTAAATCTTACGTATCCAATTCTCTTTTTTAGATTGCAAGAAGTTCACAAGATTAACTCCAACTATGAAAAGGGTAGCTATTAATATGAAGCAGGGTTTTGATTACAGAAGGATTAGCAAGATATATATACATTAAAATGAGATTAGTCCATCCATGATATTCAACATCTATTAGGTTGTCAACTGTGGGGGATCTAAGGATTTCCCTTCTTGAGGAGACAAGGATGATCTTAACTCCTTTGTCTTTGATCAGATGATAGAGCTGTAGTGAGTCAGGAAGAGCTGGTGCCTTGTTTTCCCTCATCCATTCTTCCAAACAAGTTGAATTCGCCTTATCTACATTTTAATTTTCATTTTCCTATAACAAAATATACTGTATCAGTGCTTAATCATCAAATAAATGAAATGGGTGATTATTTATTCTAACCTTTTACAATATAACTACATAACTTTCTTAAAAAAAACATATCTAAAAAGCTTAAATAACTTTAAAGAATCACTCCTTTGCTTAACATCAACGTCTTACCCAAAACATGAGTTTAGCTATTGGTGCATTCTCTAACTAGTTTCTCCACATATATATATGCATATAGATTCATAGATTATCATAAATGTAGATTTTACTTACTAAGTTCTAACTTAATAGACGCATAGATCATCACAAACATAGATTTCGCTTACTGGGTTCTAACCAATTATCTAAAAAAATTATTTCATGAAAATTCAATTCTCTTAATTGGATAACCCAAAAAAAAAAAAAAAAAAAGAAAGCATACCCAACAGAATGTTTCTTGAAGTAAGGAATGGTGGAGAGAAGCGTTCATCAACGTCAAAGATCCAAGCATCTTTACCATTTCCTTACAGGCTGCAACAAGAGCTAAAATAAACAATAGCCTCTTCCACAACCCTTCTTGAATCTACACTGTACTGGGACGAAGTGACGTATTTCTTGATATAACTTGCGCATTCTTGAGGCACATGTTGAACCATCACATAGATTGCGGAGGCAACCCATTCCAAACCCGTGGTTTGCAGAAGAATAATGAAAAAAAATGTGAGGAAATACAGAAACTGAGTAAGCACCAGCCGCCGGAATATCTGCGCACGATCTACACCTGCACACGATTTGCACTTGCACTAGCCGTTAGTCTTCGTTATGATTTCTTCTTATCTTTTCCAGTCGTAAGTGGCTAAATTGTAGGGTTGTTTTGCCTATAAATTCAGCCCCAAATTGCAAATAAGGCATCTAAAAATAAACATTTAAAAGCTTATGGTTTCCTTTGCACCCGAAGCAAATTTCAAAGTTTCTACTTTATACCTATTTTGATCAGGACCCATCAATGGTATCAAAACAGGCTTACCATGTCAACCAACAAGGAGAGAATCGAAAACCTGGAGCTCAGTACCTGGAGCTCAGTGCCGCAACATACAAGACCACCGAGTCACATGGTGTAATACCCGGACCCAAAAAATGATCCGAGATAAATTTTTTATTCTTTAATTATTAATTCATTTTATCTTTATTTAAGTAGAATTTTGAGAAAATAAATAAATTAAAGACAAGATTGAAAATAATTTTAAAAAAAAATAGTAAAAATTTGGATTCTAATAGTGTTTTTGAAAGAAAAATTAGAAATATGAGGTCAAAATACAAATAGAGAAAGTTCGACCACGTAGAACTGCCTACTCAGCAGTCTCGACGAACTAGAGCGCGCCGCCTGACAAGCCACGCTGGCGATTCGTGTGTCTCGCGATCAGACGGCTTAGGATCAATCCTGCAAGTGTGAGCGATC